TAAATGTTTTGTTATTTTTAATTTTGTTTATAATGCAAATTCAGCCGAAATTTCCTTTTTTAATATAAAAAAGTTTCTATTTTCGTCTCAAATTAATCTGTTTTATATATAACTTTAAAAGGAAAACCATAGCAAAGCATTCTTCGTATAAATATTATGTATTTTTGAGCTCTTTTTTGTAAAATTCATTTTCAGAAGAAAAGCATTTTCAGCCTTTAATTCAATGTTTACTGTTTTGCCTCAAAATGTTTTTCATTTGACTTGAATTTAATAAATTCTGTTTATTTGAAAATAAAGTAACTGTAACTCCGAAAATCAATACAAAACAAAATAGCATTAAATAAATATTTTAATTAAATTCATTTTTGTTGCAGAAATAATTATTAGGTGAAAATCGTTTGAAAAGTCACTGAATAAAAAAATTAAAATTCAATTATTATTATTATATGTTTTGTTGTATACGTATATATGAAAACATTGTTTAAAACAATAATTTATATATTATATAATTAATAAATGACTTCAATTCAATGACTTAACATTTGTGCGAACATAAAAAATAAATATTAAACACATAAAAATATATACATTTACACCATATGAGCAAAAATCTGTTAGATATCTGTTCTAACAATTTGTATTAATTTAACAGTAAATTAGGTAAATATGATTGCCGTAACATCTAATGCAACAACAATTATAAAACGATACGTTATATAAAAACACTAAACAAACAATAGGTCTTTTGAATAAAGCATTTTATTTATTACATTCAATAATGGTTTGCTAATAATAGCCTCAACTAAACTGACAAATAGCTCAACGTATCTATTCTTATGCTTAGAATTTATTGCATAATTCATTCAATCCCTTAAAAACAACTAATTTTTATGAATGGCATTACATAACGAGTGTATGAATTACGGTATATACTGTTTACGTCTAAAATAGTGACCTTTAAAACCATCACTACTAGAGTTAATACTACAACAATGTTTGCTTAGGAGTAATTGTTTTCCATACAATTATGTAATGTAATGCTTTTTTATGTAATATATGGTGAATAATAATAATAAACCGATGTATATGTTTTGCCCCACAACTAATGGTATCGCTCAAAACGATCGTAAAACTTTATCTCTGCCTCAGCTATAAACGGCGCTTAATTCCATGCGATTAATACTAATCATACAATATTTGCCTTTATTTCTCATAAATGTATTATTAAAATAAAAGTTAAACACAATCTAAATATAAGCAAAATAATTAATTATTGATAATTTTCCATAAAATTATATTATGTAATACTGTATACATTCATTGATTTCTGTCAAACAAAAGTTAGTTTATGGCACACAAAAACAGATTTAAATAATACTATATTTATAGTTATCATAAGCTGTGAGAGTGATTGTGCTCTCTCTCTCTCTCTCTCTCTCTCTCTCTCTTTCTTTCTTTCTTTCTCTCTCTCTCTCTCTCTCTCTCTCCCTCTCCCTCAACCATCAATTTGAGATTGAGTACATACAAGTGCTCTCATACACATTCGCTGTAATAAACTATATATTTTGTTGAATATATTCTGCCTTTAGAGCAAAGGAGAGATTGAAATATACATTTCGTGCAAATATATAGCATATTGTAAACATATTTATATTGAAATTGAATGAATTGAATCAAAAATAATGGCAATATATGTGGCGTTATAGAGATTTAGGAGAATATGTCTACTTTAGTATCTAATACTTGAAATAAGTGCATCAATTGTTTATCACAATATAATACTGTATGAATTACGGCCTCTTATAAGGTGTGATATATCAATGATAGCCACAAATGAGTAAAACAATAAAAGCGTAAAATTAGTTTCAAAAATGTGTTATTTATTATGTGAAAAGACGTAACAGAAGAATCGATTAGTGAATATGTGGGCAAATATATGTTTGTTATGCAACAAAAAGTCGATCAAAAACTGTTACGTCAGTTGCGTTGCTATGCCTTTGCTATTATCACAGCTTTTTGAATGGTTGGTAAGACTAGACTTAAGCTATTCTCCTGAGCCTCTCGTCTATACTTAGCCTAAAATGTTGTATATATTTGTTTTCGAGTTTCGTCTCTCGATTCAAGAATATTCCATATGTTTGGAGACTTTTCCTCCCAAAGGCCAATATTTCTATGTTTTAATTACATTTAATTCAATAGAATTCCTGTAATAGAGTTCACATACAATAGCTTTTACTCACAATTGAGTTTGACTTTGAAAAAAATAAAATACTTGTCATACCTTTACCCACAATTCATTCATTCAATGGATTTGTCTCTAACATAATGCCATAGTTTGCAAGTTTAGACATTTTGTTTAGTTTTTATTCAATTCCTAAAAATTGTATCTAATGTTTGATTAATAAAAATGTGTTGATTCGTTGATCAGTACTGGAAATTGAAGTACAAAAATACTGTATCATTATTTGTTTGCGTAGATTTTCGTCCTAATATTTGTACTAATATTGTGTAATCGCTTATGAAATGAAGAGATTTTTTATTTTAGCATTTATTTTAAAATATCAAACATTTTAGAGATACCGAAAGATATGGTAAAACATTGAATACATTGTATAAAATAAATTAAACACAGAAACATAAATAAAATATTTAAAGTGATGATTCGTTATGGTTTACACACTTATATTAAACGTCTAAATAAGTGTTTAAATGCAGAGCTTATCGTAAGAATGTGTGAGAAAAGAGATTTATTAATACAAATATATACTGTATAAGTAATATACGACATAAAACAGCGTAAATAATTTATATCAATTATTTATAAATAATAATTGTGTAATCTATGCAAATAGGGTTTCTGTGCACACATTAGGACAGGTATGACCAGAATATTCTGGAAAATTACATTAGAAACACACTTATTTCGACAGTGAACACAATGTTGTTTATACATTGTATTTGCTTTAAATCTAAATTGTGTTCAATGAATGGGAGTGAAGGGAGGACTAGGAGTGGTAGGAGTGGTAGCGCACCAATTGTTGTGACCGACAACTTTGTTTGCGTAGATTTTCGTCCTAATATTTGTACTAATATTGTGTAATCGCTTATGAAATGAAGAGATTTTTTATTTTAGCATTTATTTTAAAATATCAAACATTTTAGAGATACCGAAAGATATGGTAAAACATTGAATACATTGTATAAAATAAATTAAACACAGAAACATAAATAAAATATTTAAAGTGATGATTCGTTATGGTTTATACACTTATAATAAACGTCTAAATAAGTGTTTTAATGCAGAGCTTATCGTAAGAATGTGTGAGAAAAGAGATTTATTAATACAAATATATTCTGTATAAGTAATATACGGCATAAAACAGCGTAAATAATTTATATCAATTATTTATAAATAATAATTGTGTAATATATGGAAATAGGGTTTCTGTGCACACATTAGGACAGATATGACCAGAATATTCTGGAAAATTGAATAAAAAACACACTTATTTAGACAGTGAACACAATGTTGTTTATACATTGTATTTGCTTTAAATCTAAATTGTGTTCAATGAATGGGAGTGAAGGGAGGACTAGGAGTGGTAGGAGTGGTAGCGCACCAATTGTTGTGACCGACAACTGACAGTGAACACAATGTTGTTTATACATTGTATTTGCTTTAAATCTAAATTGTGTTCAATGAATGGGAGTGAAGGGAGGACTAGGAGTGGTAGGAGTGGTAGCGCACCAATTGTTGTGACCGACAACTTTTGTACGGAAGGATATGCAGTGCTCTGGCAATCAAAGTTGCCGTTTGTTTTGATGGGGGCTTTGAAGCCAACAGTGGGAGACCCCCGACATTCACTCTACCGGCGCTCACATTCGCGTCTCAATTGGGATGAGAGGGCAAAATATATGTATCGCTCAATACGTGTCCGCATTCTCATCGCATTCAGTATATTTGTGGTCTCAATGAGTGGCCATCGGTTGGCCCACAAACGCGTGTCCCAAACAGGGCTTACAGTTCACTCCCTCCCCCTCTCACTCAAAACAACGTACTTATGGATTACGTCACACATAACTGCAATGTAGAGGTAGTGTTTGGCATAGATTGAAAGGCTGGCCTTCCAGTCACTGCTATGATTGGGTGGGAGAGTGTGTGAGAGAGAGAGAGAGAGAGAGAGTGAGTGAGCGATAGTGTGTGCAAAGCGTAGACTCAAATGCGAGCAAACGAGTGGTGAACACAAACTGTTTGTTAGGTTCTTGTGTTGACTACTATTGCATTACTGATACACTCACTGGGAATGAGAGAGTAGTGTTGCCTCTCCTAAGACTTGAGTATAACCTTCTGCGGTGTTGTGTGGACTCACTCTCACTATCAGTTGACTCGAGCGCTGGGCTCGAGCTTATGAGCCGACTCTCTGGTGGTGTTTGGTATGGATTGTATGGTTTGAATGCCTCAAAAGTGTTGTATGCGTTGACTGTAAGCGTCAGTTGTGTTCTGTGTTCGCTGTGTTGAGTCGTGCCATCACTTCAAACACTACTCCAACTCTCTATCACTTCACACAACACTCTATTCTCTATAAACACACGAATTGTCATTCAGTCTCTCTCTTCTCTCCCTTCCGATCGCTTTAATAGTCATTATATTATATGTTATTATTATTAATGCAATTCAACGACGCTTTCAATTGAAAATTGTTCATAAGTTTTGTCGTCTATTTATGTAATACTAATACTGTATTCAATATATCAGAGAAAGAGACCGAAGAAAGAAAAGGGAAACGAAATACAAGTATAAAAAGTTTTTACCTGTAATTTGTGACACATTTCGAGTCATAGAAAAATATTTTTGATTGTTTTTTGTCCGCAAATCAGTTGAAAAGTTTCTTCGCTATTAGTTTTTGTGCAAAAATCAAAACTAAACTCACAGTTAATATAAGCCGAAAGACTGAACCGTTATATTGAAGAAGAAAACGCATATTTTGAAAGACTATACAATGTGTGACACGAGTAGTGAGTTGTCGGACAACCCGTCTCTCGACAGCGGGTTTATGTGCGCCGACGGGACGGACGGTATGGCCGACGACGAGAGCTGTTGCAGTCGACAACTGTTGCCATTTCACTTCACACAACACTCTATTCTCTATAAACACACGAATTGTCATTCAGTCTCTCTCTTCTCTCCCTTCCGATCGCTTTAATAGTCATTATATTATATGTTATTATTATTAATGCAATTCAACGACCGAATCAATTGAAAATTGTTCATAAGTTTTGTCGTCTATTTATGTAATACTGTATTCAATATTCAATATATCAGAGAAAGAGACCGAAGAAAGAAAAGGGAAACCAAATACAAGTATAAAAAGTTTTTACCTGTAATTTGTGACACATTTCGAGTCATAGAAATATTTTTTGATTGTTTTTTGTCCGCAAATCAGTTGAAAAGTTTCTTCGCTATTAGTTTTTGTGCAAAATTCAAAACTAAACTCACAGTTAATATAAGCTGAAAGACTGAACCGTTATATTGAAGAAGAAAAAGCATATTTTGAAAGACAGATATGTTACACACTGTGCTCATCACTCAACAGCCTGTTGGGCAGAGAGCTGTCGCCCAAATACACGCGGCTGCCCTGCCTGCCATACCGGCTGCTGCTCTCGACAACGTCAGCTGTTGACAACGGTAATTTCGATGACTTGAGTACAACTGATTCCATCTATTCATCCGATAACGAGTTCTCAGACCACACGTCGCCGTCGGCGGCGGACGGCAGGCCATCGGTGACGATGACACTGAACATCAACACCAGTACGGGTCTGGTGTTGGCCACGACGAAGACCACGACCCCCACCACCGCCGCCGATGTGTTGGACAGCTTTTGCGGTAAGCATTTGGTGTGCGGACCCAATGACGAGAACCAAACGGTACTCATTAATGGCAAAGTAGTGGACCTGCGGTGCGAGAAGTATTCGGTGCTGAGCTATGAGCAGGTGTGCCGACTCGACGGCCTGATGGACGAAGTGGTGCCCATTCACGGCAGAGGCAATTTCCCCACTCTGGAGATTAGGCTCAAAGACCTGATCCAAGTGGTCCGCCAGAAGCTGGAGACCGAGAACGTGCCCATCCGTGACATCCGTCTGAACGGCGGCGCCGCCACTCACGTACTGACGCCCGAGAGCTCCGCGTACAACGACTTGGACCTGATCTTCGGCGTCGATCTCTCCAATCACCGCAACTTCGATAGAATCCGGTCCGCAGTCCTCGACTCGTTGCTCGACTTTCTGCCCGACATTACCATTAAGAAGAGGATCAGTACGTGTAGTCTGAAGGAGGCGTACGTCCATAAGATGGTGAAAGTGACGGACGGCGACCGCTGGTCACTCATATCGCTGTCCAACAAAAGCGGTCGAAATGTAGAGTTAAAGTTCGTGGATGTGATGAAAAGGCAGTTCGAGTTCTCTGTGGACTCCTTTCACATAATACTGGACTCGTTGTTCCAGTTCTACGAGTGCTCCAAATCGATGGCCATATCCGAGAACTTCTACCCCACTGTCGTCGCTGAGAGTGTTTACGGAGATTTCAGGGAAGCGTTACTACATTTGCAAAAGAAGTTGATCGCCACCCGAAACCCGGAGGAGATCCGCGGCGGCGGTCTTCTCAAGTACTGTAACCTTTTGGTACGCGATTATCACCCGTTCAATGAGATTGAGATCAAGAAACTGGAGAAATACATGTGTTCGCGATTCTTCATCGACTTCAGTGATTTGGGTCAACAGAGGTCTAAACTCGAGGGATATCTGGCCAACCATTTCGTGGGCTACGAGTACTTGAAGTTCGATTACCTGATGATACTGTCGAGGGTTGTGAACGAGTCGACGGTGTGTCTGATGGGTCACGAGCGCCGCCAGACGCTGAACCTGATCGACGAACTCGCACACTATGTCTACTATCAGGACCAGCAAAGGCTGGCCGCCAAACACCACTTCGACCACACGACCAATCCCTACATGATATCGACGGGCGCCCAATACTTCTACACCCCGTATATGGCCACTCATCACCAGTTCCAACCCCTACCACAACAGCCCCAACACCAACAGACTGTCCCCACCTGTTATACGCCGTGTCATTGCGGCCACGGATGGATGGCTTGTATGAGTGCATAGAGAGACCCGACACCCAAAGGGATGCCCAACACTACATATACATTACGACTCCTCGACTCTCTTCTGTGGCCAATAACTCATTTGTTTCCTCATTTCACTCCCCATTAAAGCCATTCATTTTTTAAAGCATCACTTCTTCTGTGGATAATTGACAGCTCTTTCAGTCACTTCTGACACAAAACAACAAAACAAATGATAAGTTTAATAAACCATTTCTTCTCTCTTCCCCTCAAATCGTTGAAAACAAAGAAAACTCATTCTCCAAGAAATCAAATTCACCACTCATTTCGTCGTTTGGATTCATCGCAAATCAGTAACGGATTGTCGAGAAACCAATTTTTTGGTCTGTTTTTTGTTTTGTTGTTTCTTTTTATTAGTAACAAAAGTGTTTAAACAAACGCTTTATTTGTGCGTTCAATACATTTGCTGTCAATTGTTTTTAAACAAATCATTTATTACTTGATTTTAAATCTTATTTTCTCGTCTATTATATTAATTTCTTTTCGTCCAAACATTATTATACCAAAAAAATTATATAAAAAACTAAAAAAATGCTGTCAATTGTTTTTAAACAAATCATTTATTACTTGATTTTAAATCTTATTTTCTCGTCTATTATATTAATTTCTTTTCGTCCAAACATTATTATACCAAAAAAATTATATAAAAAACTAAAAAAATACAAAAATAACACTAAATATGAGGAGAAAGTAGCGAAAAATAGCTCTGAATTGCAGTCAATTGACGACTACAGCCGTATATTATATAATGAAATGATTATTACATACACAACGATATATGGTTTGCGAGCGGTTTATCCCTAAACCTCTGCAATCGCCACAAACCCCAGAGAATAAGTGAACAATTGATTTATTAAAACAAAGTATATTTATATCAATTCTTAAAAATCCTTTAAAACACAATTAATTTGTGAGTTATTGCTATTGAAAAGACATTTAGATCTATATAACAATTAAATACTTTAAATATCTAACTCTCGGATTACATAAACATAAATTTTTTATAAAGATGTGTAGTGAGTTTTGTATTGATTAAATATAAATTTTAACGTTTTTAGAATATTTATCTATATTGTTATATACAGTGCTATTAACTTACAATTGATATATCAATTCAATAGTGTTTCTCTTGATATCATTAGAAAACTTATGCATATATTTCACAAATGGAAAAATATTTAATGAAATTTTCTCTTTTATTAATTACAAAATATATTTTTTATGAGTTTCTCGACTCCATTAACGATAAAAAGACTATTTATAATGAAAATATGAATTACAAAATACACATCTATTCTCTATATATAAAAAAACAGTAATTTTCATAAAAATATTATATAATTGATGGTTAAATAGTAATTTAAGTATTTTGTCTATTTTACTGTTAGTTTTACGTGAATTTATTTAAATAAATCTTAGAAAAGAGATTTTATGTACAAATATAATCGTGAAATGTATTGATTTGCAGTCAACTTGATATGAGACCATTACATACCACTCCAACGCAACAATATATTTGCAAAATAATTAAATCTAATCAAAATTATAGTTTTAAAAACTGTTTTGTCTAAGAATCTAGACCTCAATGTGTTTGTGTGGCTCTCATATCAAGTTTTAATTCAGACGTTGTGTTTTTGCAAATGAATTAATTTTTATTAAAAACAACTTATTTTTTGCTAAAAGTTGTGGAAAACAGAAGAGAAAAAACTAGATTTCAATTTTCAAAGTTCTCTCTTCATTAGACTTGAAATGAAAAGCAAAAATAAGTTTATAACAAATAATTTGTTGGTCGGTTCAGCTGTTGGTTCGGATCATTAAATTTTTAATAACATTTTTATTTAGTTTAAAT